CTTTCTCAACTCCTTAAGGAGGGAGTCTAACTCATCATCACTTAGTTTTTCACACACAATAACAGGATAGGTTTCATTAGGTCCCAAGAAAGCGTACCTTAGCCCATTTCGGAGCTCCTTTAGGTCCACCTTTGGGGCTAGCAGCTCGCTCCAGTCCTCCTCGTGGCTTGTGTTGACGTTTCCATCCTCATCAGCCTCTTTTGAACCCGAGTCATGAGCTTTCAGGCTGCTATCTTGAACCGTTCCTTCCTCAGAGATCGAGTCATCCAGTCGATCTTCCCCTCGTTCTGGTCCGGATCGATTGTACTCTCTCGATTCATTTACTTGATTTGATATGGATCGAGCAGGAGATCGAGTTGCTGAGTCGTTCTCTGAACTGATCGAGTTATCCCTCTCGATCTTCTTATCGATTTCTTTTCTGGATCGACCAACCTTCTCGATTTTCTTGTCGATCGTTGTCTTGGATCGAGTGATCTCGTCGATTTCCTGGTCGATCTCTAGGCATCCGCATTCATCTTCTTTCACAACCTTGCGAGAATCAAGGATGTGTACATACTCCTGGGTCTGTTCATGCAAGAAACCACACTCCCCACAATCCTTTGTCAAAGCTAGCTGCAAATGATCTTCTTGTGCCAACTCCTCAAGCAACTCATCAGCTAAGTCATCCAAAGTTTCAATATAGAAAGCTTGTCTACCAATCGTTGGCTTCTTCAAGACTTCATTGATGTCAAAGTCTAGCTTGATGTCTTTGCCCAAGTGTAGAGAAATCTTGCCATTCTTCACGTCAATGATGGCTCTAGCAGTTGTTAGAAACGGTCTACCAAGGATAAGAGGGTCCTTTGGCTCTTCATCCATCTCTAGAACTACAAAGTATGTTGGCACATTCACACCACTGATCCTCACGGGTAAGTCTTCAAGCATGCCTACAGGGAGCCTTATACTTCTATCAGCCGGCACGAAAGAGATTCTACACTCCTTAAACTTGGTGAAACCTGGCTTTTTGGCAATGGAGTGAGGCATAAGATTAATGCTTGCTCCTAAATCACACAAGCAACTTTCAAACTTCACAAGGTCCAAGTGCACAAGGGATAGTGAATGATCCTGGATCTCCTAGCTTCTTTAGAACTCTCTCCTTGTGAATGATTGCACTGCATTCTTCACTCAACACCAAGACCTCTTCACTCTCTTTGCTTTTATTAGTAAGGGTATCCTTGAAGAACTTGGCACATTTTGGCATCATGGCCAAACAATCAACTAAAGGCAGTTTGATCTCAACATCCTTCAAGTGCTTCTCAAACACTGCTCTATGCTTCTCAAGCAGCTGCTTCTTGAACCGTCCAGGGAAGGGAAGCTTCGGTTTGTAGGGTGGAGGTACAAAAGCTTCTTTCTCCTTGCTAACCTCCTCCACTTTCTTCTCTAAAACTGCTTCTTTGCCTTTCCTTGTCCTTTCAATCCACACATTGTCAAAGGTGATCCCTTGATCATTCGAAAGCTTACCCTCCCCCTCTTGAACAACAATGTCCTCGTTGTCTTGAGGTACAGACCTCGGTGGTAGCTCTTTCCCACTTCTCAAGGTAATAGCGTTGGCATACTCTTTAGGGTTTTGCTCACACTTCCCGGGTAAGCTACCCTGACTGCTTGAACTAGCTTTTCCTTTCTCTAGCTGGCGTATCTTGTTGTTGAAGTTAGTGATCTGTGTAGACAACTCAGTAAGAGAAGAGTCCAGCCTATTGTTCATATCAACACACTTCTGATTTGTAGTTGCTTGGCCCTGAAGCAATTGTTGAAACATTGCTTGAACCGGATCTTGAGGTGGTGGTTGAGCTTGTTGCTGTTGAGGCACGAAACCAGGAGGAAACACAGGAGAGTAACTCTTGTTTCCTTGCTGTTTCTGACCTTGGAAGTTGCCTTGTCTCTGCCCTTGGTACCCACTATTTTGTGTAAACCCTTTGTTGTAAGGTACAAAAGGTTTGCCTTGTTGTGGAGGGTACACTTGATCTTTGGGTTCTCCACATTGATGCTTCTGTAGGAGAGGTTGTTGTTGCCCTGATAGCCTTGACCATAGCCTTGTGGCTTGTTGTAGTTCTGAACTCCAACCCAATTCGCTTCTTCTTGGTTCAGCTCTAACTCATCTAGAACATCTTCAGCTTCTCCTACAAAGTGTACATGTTTTTGATTTGCAAGTACTAGCTTGTCAATCTTCTCATGAAGAGACTTCAACTCCTTCTTGTTTGCTTCAAGGTCAGATCCTCCTGGTGCTCAATCATAATCCACAGCATAATTCCCATCACTTAGGGCGAGATTCCCAATGAGCTCCATTCCTTCTTCTACATTTTGACCAAGAAAGTTGCCTTTACTTGTCGTGTTTAGGAGCATGTGAATCTTGGGAAGAGCTCCTCTATAGATGGTGCTCAAGAGTGTCTCCTCACTGAAGCCGTGATGAGGACAAGCTATAGTGTAGTCTTTGAACCGCTTCATAGCTTCACTAAAGGTCTCATTCTGCCTTTGTGTAAAACCGCTGATTTCACTCCTTAGCCGAGCTGTTCTTGTACTTGAGAAGAACTTTGAGAGAAACGCCTTCTTGCTTTCAGCCCATGATGTTATAGTCCCCTGAGGTAAGATCTTCTCCCAATTCCTTGCTTTATCCCCAAGTGAAAAAGGAAAAAGCCTAAGCTTAAAGCTGTCAAGATGCTCCAAAGGGTCTTTCATGCAAGCCCATGGAACTTGTTGTTCTACACCATGGAGATGAAGCCTGGCTTGATCTCGAAGTTGTTGTTTTACACCGGTGGAGGAGTGATTCCAAATCGGTTGTGATGAGTGTTTGGAGCATCACCAACACCGATGATCCTTGGTGGTATTGAGGCGTGGTTGGGGTTTCCATTACCCCTACCAACAGCCGTGTGGTGATGTTGACCCTCATCTTGGTCTTGCTCAGCCATACCCACACACTCAACAAAATTTGGTAGCTCCTCAAAGTCTCGTGCTTGTTGTCTCTCTCTTCTTAGCCTTGCACTTCCAAGTTGATGAATGTTGTCTAGAGGTTGTAGTAGATTGTTGTCACCTGTAGATCTCAAATTCATGTACCTGAAAAGACAAGCAGTAAGGTAGAGAAATGAGTAACCAAAGTAAAATAAAGGACTTAGTCTTTACTAAGCTCTAAATCCTAATGCTTTCTAATCAAACCCAAGTTGGCAATGGTGCCATTTGATAAACAAGATTTTTCAGTGTTTAGATCAAAGCCCAAACCACATTTTTATGATGTAGTATAGTGGTAAGGGTGTCAATCCAGCCTAGGTTGATGAAAGTCACTAAGAATGCAAGAGCAATGCAAAGCTAAGCAGATTCGGGTAAATGGATGAGAAATTCAATGAAAACTAAATGCAAGCACCAAATGACTATGAAAACTATTTTAAAAATCTCTCTGAAGGGTTAACAACTACTAGAAGAAGACTGAGAATTTAAAATGCAAAAATACTAAACACTAAAAATCGAGATCTAAAGGCAGAAAAACAGAGAATTTCTAACAACCTAGAACAATGACTTTTAAAGCTAAAGATGCAAACTTTAAGCTAAAGGATGATGATTTAAAGGTTTTGAAAAGCTAAAAAGAGGATCTAAGGTTGAGGGTCATGTTTAAGAGGGTTCAAGATTCAAGCTTTGGGTTTGAAAACATAGATCTACTCATTTGATGAGTTATCTATAAGCCTTGAAAAACTTAAGCTAGGATTATCCATGGTGTGTGGTATAACCCCTTTCCTCGATCCTTCCTCCTAACCTATGGCGTATAGTGGAAAGATGGGTCAAAGAACATTAAGCAAAGATCTCAATTATTGGCCTAACTAGCTCTTTAAGCATCCATGGCGTTTGGGAAAGGATGAGCTAGTCTCTTGGATTTGGCTTTAAAGGATTTCTGAATCCGGTCAAGGTAAGAAAAGCCCTGGAATCATAGAGATCTTTTCCAAGACTCTCTAAGCATTAAGACCCCAAATCCAAGAAGAGAATAGATTAAGAACAAGAAAAATACCAAAGCTTAAACCCCTTAAATCGCCCCAACCTTAAACCCAAGAAAATCTACTCACGACACATGGCTAAAACACACGAAAATGCAAAGGAAAGAAAGCTAAACATTATCAAGCAAGAGCGATTAAAGAAAATACTTAGATTAAGCAAGATTAAAATGTTTACAAAACTAGAAAAGCTTAAAACTGCAACAATGGCTAATCGCCTAAAGAGAAACTCGAAAACATGGAGACAAAATGTTGATAATGAAAGTGATGGGATTTTTCGTCCAAAATAGCCAAACAAAGAAAATGGTCCCCCCCCCACTAAAAGTCCAAAAGTGAGCTGGCCAGATAAGGTTCTGAGATCGAGCTGAGTAGTCGATCTGATCACTCGATCTCCCGGCTAGAACGTCTTCTTTTGCTCGATCGTTGGGTCGATTCGTCGGATGGATCGAGTGCTTGTATCGATCTTCTGGTCGATCCTCGGGTGATCGAGTTCACGACTCGATCTGGTTCTCGTTCTGCATGGCTTAGTCCACGTCCGTACTCACGATCGATCACCTTGGTCGATCTTGGTCTTGATCTTCCTTCTTGAAACGACTTGAGTCACTCGATCTTTTGGTCGATCTCATCTAGATCGACCTGTCTAGCTCGATCTGCACCTCGATCCCGGTTCCTTTGCTGAATGGCTGAGTTCTCCCGAGTGTCCATAAGCTCATGTTCGATCCTTAGCATGTCCACGCAATCTCCACAGCTCCAGTGTGTCCAAAACAACCTGAATATAATGCAAGAATGCAAGAAATATGCAAATGTTAATACAAAATGCATTTAAGACCCAAAATGAGATAAATGGTACAAACTAGCCTAAAATATAAAATGAATGCATAAAAAACTTTTCTAAATGCATGCTGAATATGCAAAATATATGAGTATATCACTACGTGGTCAAGCTCTTCGGTTGCTGTCTAGAGACTAAAGTCCCCTTGTTCCTTCTCTTACATGGGAACACCTTCAGTCATTTTATATAATTGGGAAATCCACAAAATGCTTAGTAGTAATAAGTTTTGAAAACATCGTCTCATTACAATTAGTTGTACATACATATTAAATAAACTTTTCCAGTGGAAGAACCCTTTTACAAATAAGTCCATCCACAGCTTCTTCTTCTTCTTCTCTACAGAGCTGCAAACTTTCTTTGCTTGTGAACTCTCACTCCGTTAGCTACTTTCCCTGCTGTTTCCACTATTTTTTTCTGAGATTTCACCATTTCGCCGCAAACTTCTTGAAGACTTGTTGCCAAATTTGAGGTCTCAGCCTCGAAAAGCTTCACCTATTTCTCTACTTCAAACAGCTGTCTCCTGAGACTGTTTTCTATATCACGAGATGACTCTAATTGCTTGTATGAACCCGTAAAAGCAGTCAACGCATCACCATGTTCGATAGAAACACTCTCGAAATGGATCTTCTCCAAGTTATACTGCTCAATGAGGTCCATCAAGGAGGGACTTCCTCGAAATGAGTCCGCGATTTCACCACATGTAATAGATTGATGCTCAAGTTTGTTAATGCCATGAACCGGTCTCGCTCAAAACATGCGTTGCTTCAGTCACTTCAAATGCATAACTCTCTTCACACCAAACTTCAAAATATCACTATTAGTTAGGTGATCATTATAAAAAGACTCCACTTGAGATTCAATATGTTTAGATGCAATTGAAGAGAGCACCTGCTTTTCCGTCTCAAAGTGAACCGCTTCTTTATAAACTGTAACCAAATCAAATGCCAAAAATCCCAAAAGGAGTAAAAATGTCAAAAATGTACAAGCACAAGTAAATATATTTACTTTAATAGAAACAAAACTGAGAAATATACCTTGGTTCCTACCATCTTCAGAGGAAAATACGCCATTGGAAACCAAATCAAGATTGTTGAACCTGGAATAAATTGATTCCTCTCCTAAAGTTTCTGCATAATCTTTCAAAGGCTGTGCAATTCCATCAACAAAAACTTTGTTTCCTTGCTCTTTCTCAACAGATATAGAAAAAGTAAACTCATTAGTTAAAACCATTCCAAGCCTGCTGGTTTTTACATTAGAATACGAATTCAAATCAGTTTCAGGTAGTAATTTCTCACCGTCGGCAGAATCAAACTCAGAAAAACAATGCAATTTGAGCTTCTTCTTCCCATTGAAAGAATCCACAAGCTCCGAAACCCTAGAAAACATCCATATATCATGCCCAAAAGAGACCCTTCAGTTCAAATTCGGAAATTTCTAACAAGAAAGTTTCGTTTTTACCTTCTTAATGCAGCAAACAAAGTATGAACGGTGAGCGTTTGGTCCGTCGATGACTGTTACTCTTCTACAGGGACCAGAGCCACAAGAGCAAGTAGGGTTGACGGAGATCGGGTCCGATTTGATACTCACTTGGTCACACCGTTTGAAAAATCCGCAGCTTGGGACCTGAATTTCGACAAAGATTAGTACTCCGAGACAGAGAGAGATCTGAGAGAGAAAGAAACTAACGGCTGAGCATGTGTAGAATCTTCTGTTAGGATTTTTCTCAGTTTTAGAGGTCAAAACTAGGCAAGCGCCGCCGTCGCAGGGGCAGTGTATGACCGGCGGAGAAGCGACGATGGTGGTGGGCTTGGTCGGGGTTTTAAGAGGACAGTCTCTAGCCCAGTGACCTGCCATGTGGCAATGGAAGCAATCTCCACTCTCCAGTTAGCATGGCTACTGATCTGAGGAAGCAATAGTATTCGTCTTTCTCCACTTGTCCTCTCAGATTATCTTTGTCATTTAAAGTCAAGTGAATTGTGTTTTTCTCGATCTGGGAGTACTTTTGTCTTTTGATCCTAAATGGTGACCCACAGACTAAAAATTTATGAGGTTTTTTTAGCAAAAATAAATTAAACAACGTATGAACGGTGAGCGTTTAGCAAAAATTTTTGCTAAAAAAACCAAAAATTAAATAAGATCATCCACAATACAGTTTCTCTATATATCGTTGACGTGGACATTTAATATTCTATCAACTTTTTTAACAGAATTTAAAACGACATCATTTTGATTTTAAAAAATAAATTATAAAATATTACAATTTTGGATTCGAACTCTTGACTTTATATATAACTAGATGCATCATTAACCAACTATGCCAACAACATTACAATATATTTTATGAAATCAAACAGTTATGTTAACTATGTTTTCTTACTTTTGGTTGTCCTATTCAATAACTATTCACAACTTTTTAGTTAATCTCTGCGACTCTACAACTCTACAACACAATTCTCGAGATCAAGTTTTAAGCCAACACAATTCTTTATGGACATAAGCAACAACAAGACCAAATTGAACAATTGAAGTAATCAGATTGCACTAGAGAATCTTCCTCACTTGTTTGTGAGCTAGTACACTTGGGATTTGATTTGATTCAATTCAAGATAGATCGAGATTGTTTTAGCTTCGATTAAACCGATTATGTAATTAAATTCTCACAAATCGATATGAATAAAACAGAAAATCGTGAAATTACCAAACAAAATTATCGAATACGAGTAGATCTGAGTTTTGTGTTTTGCCTTTGTCTAAATCTGAGTCCAAACACAGAGACGATAGGGAGAAAATGACAACCAAAGTAAAAAACAATAGTTAATAAATGTATTTTGAGTTCGTAACATATCAAGTAATTGTATTGGCATAATCGGTAAATGTTGCAAACTTAATTTAGTTTAAGGATTTTTAAGCAGAAAACTCTTGTGAATATCAATTTTCACATTTCAATTTTATAGTTATTTAAGGTACGTAAAAATATTTTAAATATTTAAATAATAAAATATTAATTTTAAAATTTTATTTATTTATATAATTTAATTTTAATTTTAACTCTTAACAAAATTGAATTAATAACTAAAAATAAATGTTTCAAAAATTGAAAGACGAGTTTGACAATTTATCAAACAAAAAAGTCTTACAAGTTCTTTCATACTTTTTAACAAAAAAATTTAGAGAAATTATTTAGAACGATTTTTATTTTTAATTTAATTACTAGAATAACTCTGCATTGAGAAATTTATTATCATAACACATATTTATAATTAAAAAACCTCTAATCTATTCTTTTTTAATTATATTTCAATATTGCTATAATTTGAATTAAAATGTTATGTGTTTTTTTTTTTTTTTTATTGTATTAAAGTTATTTTGTTCCAGAAAATTCTCTCATCGGTAACTCTAATAATTTTAATTCTCGACAATTCAAGACATTGCCGCTTCTTCCTCCCACAATTCTAGATATTGCAATATAAAAAAATAAAGATATTAAAATATTGAAAAACTGTGGTAATATGCCAATATATTGTTGCAAACATAAAATTGAAATAAAAATATAACATATTATGTAGTTTTGTTATTTGCGTGTTGCAAATTTGTATTTGTTGCGCATATGTAGCAAATTTTGCAATGAATTTAGTTTCTTGCTTTATATGTTGTATTAATGCAAGAAAATATGTATAGCAAATTTTTCATATAATTACGATATCTTTTACAACTATTAATAATTACAAATTGTTGCTATATACTATATAGCAATTAGCATTTCTTGTTATCGTTGTTGTATTAAAACAACAAAAATTTTGAAGAAAATCTGTGATAAAATATCAATAAATATTTGCAACACTAAATTATCACTAAATTTTGCTACATAAAATGTATAGCAAATATTGTTGCGATTTACATGCGTTGTAAATATTTTGTAACATTGTCCAAAGCAAAATTCATTGCAAGATTTGTCACATAATTTTACAATTAATAATTTGTTATATTATCATGATAATATATTTTTTTTAATTCCATTGCAAGTTTGTTATATTATGGTTCGTTTTGCAACACTAATATTATTATAATATATATTATTTGGTATATTAGATTATAAAAAATTAATTAATATTTTTAAAAAATAAAAATATCTAAATATAACTGAAGAGTAAAAAAGAGAACTAATTTTATCCAATAATCAAATTTTGCAAAATCCAATAATGCATAAAGTCAAAAATAATAAAAAAACAATAAAAATTAAATAACATAAATAAATAAGCTAGTAGAAATTTAAAAACTAAAACTTAAAAATCCAACTACAGTTTTGGTTGTTCACGTACACCATTTGGAATCAGAAAGGGACAAATAATCGCTATCATTTTCTCTAAACCTTCAAGTTTGCTGAGCCTTTCTTTAATATCTGCATTCTCTTGAAAAACATTTGCTATTTTTTTTTTCTAAAGTTTCATCATTTTCCAAGTGGTTTTCGATGGGTGTTACTAGCAATCTACCATTGATTGAAAGTTCACTAAGAAGAGCTCCTACACAGAATACACGACCTTTCGTTGAATCAACCAGCTGTAGAACATAATAATGTATGTAAGCCAACAAATTTATAATGAAATCTAAGCTTCATAAAAAATTATTGTATTACCTTCAAATACATTTCACTCTTTTTTTCAGGAGTTAGCTCTTTGACTGTTGGAACATCGTCCTCCAACATATGATCAGCTATATTCTTTTCAATTCTTTCACTGATCAGCCTTGCCTTTCCATCCACAAATGATCCTTCAGATTTTTTGTGATTCTTCTGAAGAACCTCAATGTACGATGCATCTCATGTCTTTTCTTTCTACAAATATCAACAGAAAGATATAGTTAAAAGTGTTTAGAAAAAGAAAAAAAAATTTGCTTACCAAAATATCTGCAACTTGACAACAATTGTTTTCATCTAGATGCAGATGAGTATGAAACAGGAGGTTATCAAAGCTCAAATGCAACACTTAGTTGTAGTAAAGTATGCAAGCGAGTATCAATCCAATCTAGGAGTTAGAAAGTGCAATGAGAATGCAAGGATCTAGTAAAACTAGGCGAATGACGAATGATTTGACAAAATTTCTAAAAACTAGATGCAGCAGTAAAATGGAATGCAAAACTATTTTAAAATTACTAGGAAAGAGTGAACTACCACGACGAACAAACAGAATAATTAAAATGCAAGGCTATGAATTTATAAAAATCGACTAGTGGATCGACCACAGGATCGACCACTAGATCGAACAACAACGATCGATCTCGTCTAAAAGTGCGAATGCAATAAAACTAATGACTAGGATGCAACAGGTATCAAGCAAATGATTAACATAGATTAAGAAATACTAAAAAGAGGGTCTAGGGCTGAGATTCACGTTCAGGGGTTTCAAAGGTACAAGCTTGGGTTGAAAACTTTAGATCTACTCACTTTGTGAGGTTCTTTAAGCCTTGAAAACAAAACAAGATCCATCCATGGCGTGTGGTATGGATCACTCTCTCATTCTCTCCTCCAGACCCATGGAATTAGGCGGAAAAAGAGATTCAGAGGCAAGAAAAACAGATTTCAAACACGCGGCTTAACTAGTCCTCTAAACTACCATGGCGTTTGGGAAAGAGTAACTAGCCTCTAAGATGTAACTTTCAGAGATCTCTGGATCCTGTCAAGGTAAGAGCTCTCTATGATCATAAAGATCTTGGCGTGAGACTCTTTAAGCCTTAAGAACTCAACATCTTAGAAAAGAAAGCCATTAAGAACAAGAAAACACCAAGCTTTGAAAACCTTTTCGACCCCTTTAAATCCTCTCAACCCCAAAACCCGATTAAACTACTCACTACACATTAAGTAAACCAAGCAAAGCATGAAAGACGAAACGATAAACATGAAAAACGATAGATTAAGCTTAAACGATTCAAAATATCCAAGAACAAACTCCAAGTCTAACAATGGCGGAATCGCCTTCAAAACAAGAGAGAAAGATGATAAAAAGTAAAAGTGAAAGCGTGTATGAAAAGGTGATCGCCGCCTTCCCAAAGTAGGCCAAACAGCTCGATGGTCCCCCCCTCGCTAGCAGCCAAAAACGGTTGAAAGGACAGAGATCGACTTCGGGATCGAGCAGCTCTCTCGATCACTTTTGGACATCGTGTCTTCAACACGATTTGTGTCTCTATCTTCTTCGATGGATCGAGTGTTGCATCCGATCTTGGTATCGATCTTCGGCGGATCGAGCGGTGGACTCGATCCGGCTCTTGCTCTCCATGGCGTCATTTACGTTCATACTTCTTGATCGATTGCTTCACTCGATCTCCGTCTCGATCAATTCCCTTGGATCGGCTGGGCTACTCGATCTTCTGGTCGAGCTCATCTAGATCGACCGGCCATGCTCGAACCTCCTCTCGATCTCTGGTCCTTAGCAAGCTTTCCCAAATTCTTCAAGTCCCACGAACTTCCTTATGAGCCTCAGTATGTCTACGAATCCTTCAAGACTCCAAAGTAGCCGAAAATAACCTGTATGCGATGCAAAATGCAAGAAATATGCATATGCTGATGCGAGAACACTCTAGGACCTAAAGTGATGCAAACTATCCTAAAATGCATTGCATAAGCGTGAGAAACTAACTTATATGTATGTAAAATGCATGGAATATGCAGCTATATCAACTCCTCCAAACTTACCTTTTGGTTGCCCTCAAGCAAACAAAATTAAAGAAGGGAGAGAGGTTTTAAAACAAACGGGGGTTTAAGCTTCTTGCAAAGGTGTCTTTCAAATGAATCAATCTCAACGTCCTAGTTACTAGTTCTAAAATGCAATACACACACTCATACTCCAAAGAACTTAGCCATACTCATCACACAAAGAATTTCAGATCGTGACTCTCCTATTCCTAACAATCAAAGAAACTCTTCCTTTAACATTCATTAACAACCGAACCATGAATCAAACTTATACACTTTAAAGCAGAAAACATTTGGCTAAGGGTAAAGGCTATGAGCATAGAATGATCTCATTTTTAAAGAGGGTTTGTTTTAA